ATTGATACTTTATGTTCACAATGATTTGGAGAAAAAGCAGTTTCTTCCTGAATTTTTATACTGGTCACTCATGGCAACACTTTAAAAATAAAACTATTTTATTGCTATTTTCTTCATTGGTTATCTCTGTTTACACCATCAAAAATTCAACTACATACCAGGAATATCACAAATAAATAATGGAAGCCCAAGTGAAGAGTTCCCATTACTGAACTGTGTCTGATTGGAGTTTAGTCACTCATAATACAGTGGAAATATATAAATTTAAATCAGGAGAGGCCTGAAGAACATGAGATGTGTGTGTGTAATTTATAATTAAAGAAGTATTACTTTTTTCGAAATAGGTTAGAAAGTAGAGTCACAAAAACTACTTCTTTGTAAACTGCTACCTGAGAATTATACAAATTTCAATCCTTAGAACTTTTAGATATGACAGATATAATTAGGTGTAATAAGGAGGGACTGGGTGTCAGGTAGCAAAGTCACCTCTGCAACCACAAAGAAAATGTGTGTTGAATCTGAGATACCTTGTCCTAATTTTCATGTTAGGAATTAATCTGTAATGTATGAATGGATTTTTTTTCCATTCAACATACCAGGCAAAGATCTGAATAATGTTCGCATTTTGACACCCATATCAAACTGAAAACACCTCAATCAACTGTTGGATGGATTTGGCATAATTATTGATACACTTTGCAGGATTTAAAGAGTGAGGATTCAGTGCTCACATACCACATTTGAAACGAACACAACTTATCAAATGGAGTTCTGACATGTGTGACTTTTAGTATCATTTTGGAAGTGAAATAACCTGTCAGATTTTAAAATGTGTTAACAACTGGATGGTTAAGTGGCAGGGACGTGAAGAGAGGACGTGGGATTGGTTTGAGATCTTGTTCTGGAGCAGAGGCACTGACTGCCAGCCTAGAGGTAATCACAACAAAAGTTTTCCCCCAGGGGTTCTGAACAAAAATTCTATAGTAGAATAAATAAACTACCACACAGATTATCCTAACTAGCATCTGCAATCTTCCTTACAATAGCCATTTGTTGATGTCTTTCCAAATATATTAGAAGTGGCAGATGATTTATTTTGTTTTTGAAAAGTGCTTATAACCATTCATTCATTCAACAAATATTTAAGTTTCTACTATATGCCAGGCATTCTTTTCTAAGTACATTATCAAAGTCAAATAGTACAAAATGCCTAACATCCTTTTATTGGAGATGTCTTCACTTTAAATGGATTAAGGCAATTTACATAAAGGGCATACACACAGAAAAATCTACTCCTCTCAAGCTTTGTACAATTGTTCATCCTGATTAGTTTATCTTTGTTGCTTGACACATAGTAGGTGCTTTTAATATTGTGCACCATATATTACAATTCAGCTGAGTTTTTTATATGTGAAAAATTGTCTCACGAAAAAGAAATCTCTGGCCACTGCCACTGCTCAGTTGCATTAGTATCGTCATCTACAATTCTGGTCCCATAATTCTTATTTTTTTGTTCGATTTCAAAATGTTTTCCTTATTATTTTCATCGCTTTTCTTGTGAGAAACAAGGCAGAGAGGCAGTATTGGGCGGGGTGGGCAGGGTGGATCGGTGGTGTTGGGATAAGGCTCAATACTTACTTAGTTTTTAAACAATAACTTGATTTTGTGGTGTGTGTGGATGGTGGGTGTGTGTGTTATACTTTTGAACCTATTGGAGTGTATGAAAAGAGGAGATAGAAATTGCAACTCATCAAGGAAAAAATAATGGATTTAGTAGCAATGATACCTAGACTGGATGTAGTTTCTCTTTGTAGAACAGCAAGTCATTCTCAACACCCATATTGCTGGTCATCCAGGGGGCTGAGCCATGCCTCTGGGTGCCACAGCAAGAGATGAGGAAGTAGTGAAGTATTTAAGAAATATAAATGTGACCGAAAATTTCTTCTGAAGTAATTCACAGTCTGGATTTGGACTGCCACAGGACATTAATCTTATAATCCATAACCATTTCCTGTTTCTTAAAGAAAATTTGAAGAGTTTTGGCCATGCATCATGCTAAAAGATGATGTTCAAATCTGACCATAAAACACAAGGATTCCTTGATTCATAATTTCTTAGAAAACAGATAACAATTATTACATTTGGTTGATCTAAGGACTAAGGACTAAGAATAAGATTCCATTCCAAAGTGATCCCATTGACTTCTAAATTTCTATGTAATTTCTATCTCTATCTCTATCCATCTATATTCACTTATGAGATCTCTCTGTAGTTTGTATGTCTATCTATCTATCTTAAATTAGTGAATTTAAGATTCTTATTGCAAATAATATTATTTCAAGTGACTAGAATCTATTTATATGCATAGATCATTTCTGTTATCCAGAATGCAGATGTATTTTGTAAACATTTTTATCTTTGCCCAAGTTCTGTAGGGACTACAATGTGTAAAGATGAACTGGTCAGTTTATTATATTTGGACTAAACTCCTATTTTTTTAACCTCCATTCTTATATATTTTACTTCCAATTTTGCACCTCTTTCTATTCTGAGTAAGAATTTAATAAACAGAGTATCATAATTTTAAAAATACTTTAAAATTGTGATTCATCTTTCTAAGTTAGTATATAAACCCCAAACCTATTGAAATCAATTCCTTGATAATCAGTCCTAGGTTTTGTACTTAATTTAAAAAGGCATACATGGTTCTGCTCTCAGGAGACTACTGCTGGAGAGCCAAGTTGTCTTTCCTTTTCATGAATTTTTTTTTTCAAAAAGTCTTCATAATCCAGTTGTTTGAAAGGTTCTGTATAAATTTGGGATTTTGGATGTCTGGAGGTCAGGAAAGTTCACCCGATTTAGTGAGTTCCCATTTAGTTAACCTGGTCTAGCCTAAATTCCTGTTTCTAAAGCCACTCTGTCATGTGTGATCTTTTTAATGGTTCAGCCGGGTTAACAAACTCTATTTCCGCCTCGTGCATCCCATTCTATAGGAGAGGCCAAAGCTTTTCATTCAAACTCTGGAAAATTACCTCCTCTTTTGCAGGTGGTGCTGTAAACAGGGAAGAAGATTAGGGAGTATCCTAGGCCATGCCCTTCCCCAAGGTCCCTCCTCCTCTCTATGACAAAAGAATGATAGAAGAGGAGACTTAAAAAGTATTAGTGCAAGAGGATATGGTTCAGGACAGTGTAAGCAGGAAAAATGAAACAATAACAGGGAAAGTGAAATGAGGGACTCTTTGGAAAATACCATCAGAAAAATAGGCACAACCAAAAGAGAGATCCCAAGCTCTGTATACACGATTTGTTTGTTTTGCTTTTCACAAGGTGTTAGACACAAAAGTGCAAGTGAGTCAATTAGAGGTATTCCACATCTTAAAAGGAAAGAAAGAGGGGGAAACATGTCTTCTTCATGATCACCCCCTGTCTTCTTCATTTTGGTACAATGTCTCAGGAAAGGATTATGTCACAGTGACCTTACTTTTTATAACTGCACCATCTTTTCTTATATAAATATTAACTACATTTGGCTTTTGGGGTGTCACACAATTAGCAAATTAGTCGTTCACTAAGAGTATTCATCTAGGTTTTATAACACTTTCCCCACCTTAATTTTAGAATATTACATGCAAAGGGAAAAATTGCCTTCTTTTTATTGCACTCATTGAAATCCCTTCTCTTAATGCTAGGCTCTGGAGTTACAGTGGCAGTTACTTCTGTCATCAGAATATCAGCACTTTGAATGGAATTCTGAAAATTACAAAGATCACACAGGCATATGGAGGAATTGATCGCCCTCTCCATATGCTAAATGTACCCTCATTTGAAGCTTATGTATTTTAATATAGCCCTTTTTTTCAATTCAATTTATTGTATTTATCATGAGTATAAGATGGAAATTAGAAAATTCCTTCAAGGTTTTAGGTCTTTTATGTGCAATACTTATGAGAAAGAGGAGAACTTTTGCTGTTCTTTTATATGTGAAATTAGTGGATTGACCTAATGTCACAAGGAGTAAAACAAACTGTTCATTTGCACTTTTATGTACAAGTATGAAGCACGATATTGATTTCCTAAAGAATCCAAAGGTTCACTGGAGGGCTTTTAATTTCTATGTTTATAGTAACTTAATTTTATTTACTTCCAAAGTTAATATTGCTTGTATGACATTCAGAAAGGCCCAGAGGCTGTGCGGCATCTCTCTGGAACAGTTGAAAAATTTCCAAAGGATTATCATCCCTGTGATATTAATGAATGAATCTTCTGTTATTTAGAGCTAAAGTAAGGCCATTATTTTTTCAGTCCATTTCTTCTAGACTTCATGATTTTCTCATTGAAAAGAAAATGTATGTCCTCTCCAGCATATCCAAGAGGAGTTAGCAATGCTCTGCCAGATGTACACACCAACAATACCAGTGGGTAGGGGACACTCAAGAATGGCCCTGTACACCATTCCTGGAGATCTGGAAAGAGTGACTTGAACACAGTCTGGTCACTCTTTCCATATGCACATTAGCAGAGTTACACAATGGAGTATCACTGGTTGATTGTAGTGTTTAGCAATTGCAGTCACCATGCATTGGTATTGAGACCTTGAACAAGGACTTCCTCATGTAGAGGAGCTGGCACTGTATTAAATAGTCCTATAAATTCATGCATTTCCATCTGTTTCTCCAGATATGGGTGTTTCTTTACTCGTCAGCTCATTAATCCTGTACTTAGTATCACATTTAAGCCAAAACCTAATTATGAGTCCAAAACCAGAGCATAATATTGTGAAGACAGGGGCATATATGTCTCTTAATGTCCCAGTGATGGCTTTAAAGGTTTATAAAAGTGAAATAATTACTTTGAATATTATTGGTAAAATTATGAAAAGCATTTCTAGAATCCAAACACAATGGCATGTTAATTTCATAGTAAAATGTGGTCTTGCATCTGTAATTAATGTTATCTATCTCAATAGCTGTGGGTCATTATAAGTTTAATTCAATTATTCTTGATTAAATATAGTGAATCCATAGTAGGTATCCGTTAACATAATTTGTGGCAATTTACAGAGAAGAGACTTCTTAAAGATATATGGTAAGAAATACTTTAACACACTTATAGTAGCTTAGTTTCAAAACTTAAAAAAAAATCATAATTTACTTTGCTCTGGCAGTACACACACACACACACACCCTGTGGTTAGTTTATTCCCTGCTACTTTAACAATCAGTGACTGTTTTGGTGAAAGCCTAAAGCTTAATCCATTAAGAGCCATTCAGAACAAAACAAACAAACAAAGCTTTAACCACTTCAGTGACAACAGGGCAGAACCAACAAGCAGCTTTCTTAGAAAACCCTAGCAATTTTAGGATCAATAACCTCATACTAGATGCTACTAAGTGATGAAAGTTAGAGAATTTGTGCTTCCAGGGTTTAGAGAATAAAACAAAACACATAAGTGTCAGGGGAAGGATGATTTGATAAATTTAGTTTTAGAAATATCCTGTACTTAGTATCACATTTAAGCCAAAACCTAATTATGAGTCCAGAACCAGGGCTGACTTATGTTGTATCTGTAGTCAAGATGAAAAATAAGCTAATCCAAACATCGCCCTGGACTAAAAATTTTACCTATGTGCTCTAAGAGTTGAACTGCTAAAATATCTTTTAGTCTTGTTCAAAGTTCCACTATGTGGTGTGTGTGTGTGTGTGTGTGTGTGTGTTTGAAATTAAAATATATTTCTTTGAAAACAATCTTATCTATTATCTTTATATTAAAGTATTTAGGGTAGCTTTACAGTCCACTTAATTCAAGGCTACAGTTTGGACAGTAATACCAATAAGTACATTTATATATGAGAGGAGCAAAAACAAACATTTCTTCACAAGGTTAAAAGCCTGTTCATTTTCTTTTAGAAATATTCCTTTGTATATTATCTTTTGAGAAAAAAAAATCCATTAGCTTCTTTTATACATTCTCTAGTCTTAAATTGTACACCAGTACAGCAGAATATGTTTGATGGAGAAAATTTCCTGCAGTTCTATGTAATAAAAACGGCTCCTATATTCTTTGCATTCATTATATTTTCTTTTTCAGTTTCACAAAACAATTTTAAAATGCTCTCTCTCTCTCTCAAAGTTATAATTTTAAAAGTGCCTTTATATTTATACTTAATTATAAACTCAGTAATGAAATAAGAGTATTATTTATTATTTATCTCAAAATGTCAGCTGGCTAGACTTTACCCACAAATTATCTGGAGGCATTAAATTATATACCTTCATAGGTAGTCAACACTGTTGGGATTGCCTGTGGTATGTTTACACGCTAATTTGTTTACTGAACATTGTCTACTCATTTATGTTTTTGCTCTTATTTTTCTTTGTTAACAGATCCTCACTGAAGAGACATATTTAATATGAGGATTTTATAAAAAAAGAAACATCTTCATGCTTAAAAATAAGCGCCGGATAAAATGCAGAGTAATCTCTGTGCTGAAATGTCATCAGATAACATTGACCATTAATATTTTACAGACGAAAGAAGTAAATTACCCTGCAATATCATTAAAATGCATGATTTTTCCTGTGTCAGAAACGCTGTGCAGTTTTGTCTGGATTCATTAAGGCACTCGCTGTAGAAGTGCCTTGCCAACCGGAATGTGGGTGGCTATAATGGCAGCCTGTAGGTTTGTATGGAAAACAAGTATGGCACTGTGAAAAAATCCTTCTCTCACCCTACAGATACCTGTACGGAGAGCTTGGGAGACATTTCCATAGGCTCACTGTCAAGTGAGTGCTAAGGCCCCCATTCACTGGGAAGCAAAGGTAAGTCTGAAAAATGTATTGAAGGAAAAGAAAAGGGGTGGGGAGTGAGGTGGAATCACCTAGCACTGAAGCAGCCTCACCAAGTGACAGACACGTAGACAACTCTGATGCTGCCAGAACAGCACTCTGCGCAGCCCACCAGCAAGCAATTTGTCACAGCGACAAGAATATCCTCCGCAATTTGGCATCAGGGTCCTTGGACAGCCAACTGCGCCTGTACAGCACGAGACGTGCTATTCCGCAACCGGGAAGATGGGAACCAAGGTTCTCGTTATTATGTCCAAATGTGTTATTTTATGAAAAACATATCTTTTGTCATGATCAACATAGAGATAGAACAGTAGTAATTGATAATAACTGGGGGAAAAAAAGACAACAAATTGGAAAAAAAATACCTCCTTGTCTGTTTTTGAGGTACCCTGGGGGCTGAGACGATTTCAGGATGTTTGCTTGATATGTCTGGTATTTTATGGCACGCTCCCACAGTGTTTCATAGAAAGAATGAATCCATAGGTACAAGAATGAACTTGGAGAATTTTTGTAGTAATTTGCTTTTAGCAGAATATACTCTTTGCTTTGTTTTAGACTTCGACGTGTTTGTTTATGGTGTGTTGATTAATATATTGGCCGAGTGCAAATCCTTTCTACTGGTATGATTTGAAATAAGACAAAGAACTCAAGGTAAGTTGAGTTATAAATGTGCAAAGGAAAGACCCTTTACTCCTTGCATTGCTACCCTGGTAATCTATTATAAAAGTGCAGTAAAGGAGAGAAGCCAGAAGCATAGGATAAAGGTATCTGATAAATAAGCAAGTAGTGTTCCCTTGCCAATTACTTGGCATCTTACTTTGTAATTAATGCCACAGTAATGAAAAAAGTGGTAGGCAGAAAGATTGGGCCTTTTGTGCATTCTATACAGAACCAAACACTCATAAAAATCTAGCTCAAAGCTAGCCTAGTTTGGCTCTCTGCACAATCAAAACTTGCTAGAGAATTAGAACAATCCCATAGGGTGTGTGTGTGTGTGTGTGTGTGTGTGCGCGCACACACACCCACACTCCTGTTTGTGTGTGTGTGTGTGTGTTATAATGCGTTATAGAAGAGTGACATCGGGCAATTGTGGTATTGCTGTACCCATCAAACAGACAAGGGTGTCCTTCATTCCTCAGACATGATGGAATCATATACCCATTCTGCCAGGAGCCAACATGGTATCTATTATGTTGTTCACCAGTTGTCCTATGAAGCACTGTAGCTAACTGCTGCTTGATAGGTTCTAGTAACTGTGTTGCAATGCCTGGTATATTTATATTTGTGCTCTATACAAACTTTCAGGATATAATAAAAATACTTGAGTTAAATAATTATGAGAGTGATACTGTTAGTGGACATTTTAAAGAAGTACCAAATAATATAACTTAGGCAATTTTCATATTATTTGAAATATAGTACAAGTTTCAAAAACATCATGTTAATATTATAATGATATTTTATAAAAATATAAAGCAATTTTTTTTCTCTCTATTCACTTAAACTGGATGGCAGTAAGTGCCTTAGGGTTGTGAGAGTTGAGAATGAGATGTTTAATTGAAACACTGTGGAATTAGTGTTGAAGGTGGAGTGTGTTGACTAGCTAGGTACAAGGACAATGAAATGAAAAGGCCTAAGATTCATATCCTTTGAGGGATAAGGTACAAAGAAAAGGGAGAAAAAAGAAGTGTGTGCGGAGTGTTCAAGGATAGAGGGTACAAAATACAGTGGAGACCATAAAGAAAACTAACCCCTACTTTTCTAAGCTTTGCATGGGGTGTTTTCCTTGCAACTCCCATTAAAGTCAATGGGAATCATGCAGCTAAAACCCCGTGTAACTCTTTGACAATTTACTTCCTAGTGTCAAGAAAAGAGTACTACCTACTAAGGGCAATTTACTCATTTTAGTTTGTGCCTCCCATACAAAGATGGATTTGATAGCACATAGCAGGAGGAAAAGAGAGACTGCATTTAAGATTTTGTTATTGTAAAAAAAGTCATCATTGAAAAATGTCGCCTAAACTCTCACCTTGTTTAGCAACAACAATAAACAGAGAAAAGCAATCCAGCAAAAGAGTATGAAGAGAAGTGTAGACTTGATTACAAGAAAAATGGTGATTGCTAGTGTAAGGTTTTTCTCCCCCCCCATTTTAAATTCTTAAGCTCTGAACACAATCGCAGGATAATAAGAATACAGGAAGATTCTTAAGATTGCAAATTGAAGCTGCTGATTGCTTGCTTTTCCCATACACCTCAAGTTGTACATATGTAAATGCAGCAATGATATTCTTCCAAAATCTTTATTAATACAAATACAATAGAAGGAAGGCTACTAAAGATTCTTAGTTTTTGGTAGAAAAGTAGGTAAAATGATAAAGTTCTCTTCTGCTATAAGAAATAATTGAATATATGCATCATGCCCTCTTTATAATTTTTGAAATATGGAATGCACATATTAAGAATGCTATTTGCAAATGCTTTCATGAACTTTGAAGTCAGAAAATTAACACTGGCTTTCAAAGTGTTTATTTCTATTACTAGCCACTATAATTTTTTACTTTTAAATGAAAAGTTTTTATTTCAGTGCAGCACCACTTTATTGATATAATTCTTATAACCCCATAATAAGCTTATGTGGGTTGAAGAGAGGGCTCCTGTGTTTTCTGATTCTATTCTCTGTGATTTGTTTTGTCCTTCAGAGGGAAAGGAAGTAAGATCCTATATGTTTCTGCTTTTCATTGTGTGGATAGAGTACAGACAATCCACAGACAACTGCCTATGCAAATTTATTATTTAGCAACACAATTTCTCAGTTGTTACTGTTAAATGAGTGTTTCTCACCATGGACCTAGCTGTACTTTAGTGTAGGTGAGCATACTGCTGTGGCAGCCTTGGGACCATTGCAGTCTGATTGCACCAATTAACAAATCCTGAACTTTACCACCAGAACAAGACACTGCTACACATTTATGAATGTCTGGCTTTGAAAAATTAGAGTAATTATGTCACCAAAGCTACCATTGGTTTTCAGATAGACATTTTAATAATTTTGCAAGAGTAAAAACCTTTCTGAAAGTGCATTGATATTTTTATGGTGGAGATAATATGTAAGGATGAATACAGTGATTTTATATGTGAGAACATTTAAGAAAAGAGATATTGTAACTGAACAGAATTTAGATGTGTTTCTGGATTGAGTCCTCTACTATAAATTACATGTTGGAAGGTTTTGACTGTGTGAAAACTCCTGAAATCTGATTTTCCTGGAGAGAGGAATGAGAATTCATAGAATAATGAAAAGAATATAAAACTAATAAAAAATCATAGAAAAAGATAAATTTAAAATATGAAAATTCTATAAGTTTTAGCTTAAAAACTCACAGCAGGTTCATGTTCCTTCTTATATCCCAGACTGTTCGTTAGTGAGTAGATCACAGATCCTTAAGCAAATACATGTTGAAACATTTCCGTTCACAAATTAAACCTGAATTGAATTTAGCACACAAAGCTCTTTAGTTAGCAGTTACATTTTTCAAATTTTTTTTCTTCTAATTGAACATGGGTATGGCAAACAGTATTTTTATACCAGTAAGAATAAATTAGTATCAGAATTTAAGGCAAAAACAAAACCAAAAACACCAAAAACAGGAAAAGGGGAAAAGATGGAGTCAGATCTTGCAGTGGGAATGTTCTTCTCAATGTTGCAGAATTTTTTTCCCTCCATATTTCAGTGTCATCGTTTCATTTTGAATAAGAACTTGAATAATCATCAACATATTTCGTGGAACCAAAGATTTATATGGTTATGTATTCTAGATCTCTTATTTTAAGAATTATATTTTCATAATTTGAAAGAATTATATACTTTAACAGAAATTTAAAAATTAATCTTTTTATATCAGACTTTTTTTTTGCTAGGAATTTGTTATAAATCAGTGTTTTCCAGCATTGAGATTCAAGGCATTTTTAAATATTCATTTTCCCCCATATCTTCTTTCACATGGTTAAGAAATTATTATGACTTTGGCATGACATCTCTGCAGTCATTTTGCAGTATATGTAGTTGGGGAAAGCTTGAGAGAAATATATATTGCCTTCCAGTATTTCCAAACCACATGTTTAGTTTCAGAACAAGGGGTTTTACACACATAGAGACTGCATTATCTCTTAGCTTAATGAGAAGCATTTTGCATATATTTACTCTGCAACATTTTACCAGCCCCAAGGATGTTTTTTCTTGAACTGATTTTATCACCTGTATAGAAGAATTATACAAATGTTCTAACTAAGAAGGTCTAAGTCAGAAACTAAACAAAAAAGTATGTAGTCAAATTAGTGACTAATTATATTCATGAGGATGAGTTTGTATACACAAAATTTTTTCTCAGTGGCCACTTTTCTCTTTCCCTACCCTTATCTACATTTCTTCAAACTTGACACTTGAGTGGTCTTCTGCAACTCAAATATGTTTTGACAGCTAAAGTGTGGAGGGAGTTAATTGCTGGGTAAAGGCATAGTATTGTTCAAGATATTGATTCTCTGACTCCAGAGATCTTTGGGGTTTTCTGCATGGCAAATTTCTGATGTCCCACTTCAAAGATTCAAAGTCAGAACCCTTCTTTGCTACATCCAAGAAAAAGAAGTCACTGGACAGTAGGCTGATTGGTCTGGAGCTAAAGGTTACCCAATGGTTACATGCTTGCCTAGGACCCAAGCAAGGAAAGGGATTCTTCATAGAAGGCTAAGCTGTCTCTTCTCTTTGACATGGTTACACAACTTCTTTAGCACCAAGAGGACTCAAGCATGGGAATTGGAAGAGGAATAGGTGTTGTAAGATGGAATGGGTTCTTGAAATTTTTCAAAGATATCCTGAAACAGGAAAAACAACAACAATAACAACAAACAATTATTTCAAATACTAAGAAGGGTAAAGCTTAAAAATGGTGAAGCAGGACGAGAAATATTCTTTTTATGGATGGCAAATATATAGACCAAGGCAATGACTCAGGTGAAACACAATATAATTTTTCACAATTATTTAAGTGTGAAAGGCATATAATTTGTAGGTTCTTCAATGGTCTTTCGAATGGCAGTATAGGGCAATGGAAAAAAATGAAGATGTTTCTCTGGTATTTCAAATAACATGCTATATACATTTGAGTATGCCATTTAATAAGGGCTTTGTGTTTTTTCATTAGCTAAGAAAAAAATGGGTTTATTATATCCGAGGGATGGTAAGATGATGATTTTGTTACAACTATAGTTGTCAAAAATTCCCAGATAGATGCAACGTAAACAAGATCCTAGCACTAGTAACATAAGAAGTAATATAAGATTATTTCTGATATTTTTTTTTCATTTTTAAGCTCTTTGTCTCCAAAAGAGTATGTTGTATTTACTGTAATAATTTTACTCATTTACTCATTTGTTCACCCAAAATTATTTGTTGAGTCTTGACTAAAGTGCATGATTGTGCTTGCTATTGGTAACTCAGAGATCACTGAGATAAAGTATTGATTGTGTAATGAATGAAGAAATAAGCCACAGGTAAGGCTAGGATAAATATATGCCATCATGTTTATAAGATATTGGAGGAGTTACTGCTAACTTTGCCTCAGAGAGACAGGAAAGCCCCATACAGGAGATGATCA